TAACAAACAGTTTCACAGGATCAAGAAATCACGTAATTGTAATTCATTTAAATAATTCAAAACCGAATAACACATCTATAACATAGTTCCCTTTGTAAGTCCTATTTCTACAATAAGAATAAAGCTAAATTCTTTCCAACCTCTTTGGAAGCCCTAAAATCTCCTGACACACATCCAGTGCAGTATTTAAAATTGAAAGCGTTATGTATGGAATTACTTACTTGTTTACAAGTTTGATCGATGTCGTCTGCTTTTAACAAACGAGAGCATCGTTATTCTTCTTTATCAGAGGATGATCGCCTGAACTTGGTGTTTATCAGTTTTCATTTTCTATTTATTTGTTTCTAAAAGCGCGCTTAGAATTTGACACACCCAAGCATGACAAAAATGGCAATACAACTTTAGAAAAAAGGGAAAAAAGTAAAGGCTCCATAAAAAAGCATTGAAAGACCACTGATTTCGTGTATTCGCAATGTATATGAAATGAGACCTCAAGGAAAGTACACGAGGTAATAGTTCTGTATGGAAAGAAATATAACGAACTTGAGTTTTATCTACTGAAACCTCGTTTTCAGATAAATTGACTGTAGTCCACTTTTAAGTTCTTTTAAAATTCAACTTTTAATCAAGTCAGTCTCGGAAGTGTCATTACTGGAGATGCATAAAGTCTTCAGCAGATCGGGCGAGAACTTTAAGACAGGACTAATAAGAAAAGTGAATTGAAGTCTCCAAAAATGGATCAACATGTAAGAATGAAGCGCTATTGATAGCATCGTACGGTCTTATTCGGCCGAATCCCTAACTTCAGGACATGTGTGCAATTCAAGTGAATATGTGTGATTAATTCTTCCTGAATGTGAGAAAAGAAAAAAATTAGTAAGTATTATTATGTAAGAAATGCTTAGATTCTACTTAACCTCATCAGTCCTTCCGAAATGGTTCAGTAGTTTCGCAATAATGCCCGGGTCCATGCGATGGCGTATCATTCTGGTACCACTGAACAAAATATCATGATTTTGAGGCTGTCAATTGATTTGAGATCATTAGTAGTCTTAACCTCGAAATGAATTTGCAGCTTTCGGGTAACACCATGCCGAGAGCCAAAAAGGCCGGCGGAAACATTCGTTGGCTCAGAGCCATTGGGCGAACGATTGCTTCCTGTAATGAACAATTAAAAAATTAAATACTCAATGCTTTATTTACGAGATTTAGTTCTTTAACTTTAGTTTAAGTAAGTTTCAGAAGTCTTAGTCCTTAACTTAAGAAAAACCAGGATCTAAGGCCAAACTCCACGAATGGCAAGCTCAAACTAAAGAGTTATAAAGCCCTTCACATCTTCCTTAGGACCGAGATGCCACCCAGGCCTCGGCACAGTCTCCGCTCACCACTTGGTCTTCTCAAGCAAATGGAGTCCCAACTCTGGAGCAGGATCGTGAACGTG